CAGGCTCACGCACATGTGCTTCAAAAGGGGTTCAAACAGGAACCCCCAAGTTCATGGGAGGATTTCCTTCAAAGGGCTCCTCTCACATGATTGAGGGTCACCTACCTCGAAGCCGGAGACGTATCACTTTTTCTGGTAGTTTCAGGGTCCAAGTTCCTTCTGTGTCGATCTTTCCAAGGTTCGTCGCCTTCTGCGTGGGTCGACGGAAACGAGAGGCAGGGGCGAGGAACGTCCTGCTTGCTCTGCGGGAAGTACTCCCCAGGTTAATATCAATTTGAAAAGGGGTCCCCTGACAGGGGGTTTCCTCCACTAGGTCCGCCAGTGGTGCCCTCTTACCTTTTTTTTTTTGGGAGGGTTCCCCTACTAAAATAGACTATAGAAAAAAGGGTACCCTTATTCTAACCTCTCCACTGGAGGACGTAGTCTACGAATCGAGTTTTTGTGGTGTTTCTTGTTAAGCTGGTGCGTGATGGAACCTTTCGATACTGACCACTCGTCCATGCTGTCCTTCAAAAGGACAGCCGTTCTGTCCACGTGCCTTCCGTGTGTTCACCTGGGAGACATGGAGAAAATACCTACTCGCAGCAAGTGATTCGACTGTATGGCTGTATGTTATTCTTGCAAAAGTCAGCGCATACGTGTGACGCCTTGAACGTTGGCACCGGTTTGATGGAATGCAAAGGCCAGACATGGCAAATGTGGAGGCTACGGAAAGTGCCACCAGCAGGTACATTGGGCAGCACAGTAAAGCTGCACCATTGAGCATGGCATGCTGCCGGGAAGCAGGTCCTGGCAGCGATGCGATGTATGTGTGGTAAAACTAGTTGATGCACAACGTCCGACAGGATAGGTGAAGTATTCAACACTTGAGCACATTTTCAAGCATGACCTTCAATCATGCTTGGCCGTCAAGAACGCTATCAACAGTTATTTGCGGCCACGGACGCAAGGCACATTTGCTTCAGTTGTGCCGCAGCACAGCATTCGCTTCAGTTGCGTCGCGGCGTTGTCACCGTGTGTTGAGACGCAGTCAGCAGTTTGCATTTTGTCTCTGCTGAAAGCCTCCAGGACAGAAGCCGTTTGTGTGCGGCATGATAGCCGTTACATAGTCAGAGTCAGCCTTGCCACCGCCACCACCGCCGCAGCCACCCTGCGGTAACCACCCTCTCACAACGACCAGGGCTGGTTTTCAGGCCCCCGGATCTCAGGGACCAAGGTGAGGTTTAACCAACTCAAACCATGCCCGAGATTTTGGTTGAGGGGGTAGTGCCTGGGCCAGGATTGAATATGTTTGGACTTGAAGCTTGCGCGGATTTTCCCAATAGGGGAATGTTATGGCAGGAGTGGCTGTGTTAGCCAAGTTCTTCGCGTAATCGCTTCTGTTTACCTGGGAATCGCAAAGGGTAGTTTGGATCTAATTGACACCGGTTCACAAACACAAACACAAACACAAACACAAACACAAACACAAACACAAACACAAACACAAACACCAGCATAGGTGTCCTTTTAGGTCACTGGTTTAGATGGGTTTTATTCCATGTACCAGGGCCATCTATTTTTCCAAAAGGACACCTATGTTCTCCAACACCGTCGCTTTTCTTCTGATAAGGTATCACTATGTTACGGGGCTTCTCGGCAGCCAGGAGAACCATCAAGAATAGTTAATCGGCTAGGCAGACACCAGCGGACATGTATCTTCCATAAGTTTCAGTGCTTGGGTTTGTCATAAGCGAGGCAGATGCAAATGGAATTCTAGCTGCATGATAATTTTGATGGACGAAACCCTCTCCACTTTGAAACCCTATGGAGACCATTCTTTGTTGGTATTTAGAGGGGAGTCATCATAAACCAGGGTTTCTTAGGTGATGCGAAATGGATTTCGCAACCATCCACAGTACCTGGAGTCTCCTTCTGACCCTAAAAATGGTTGGTCATTACCCCAAAGAATGGGGTCATGGAACCATTCTTAAAGGATCATGGAGACTCTAGGTATGCCCATCTCGCGTGAGACTGCTGGGGCCCTTCAGGTCAAGCTTCACCTCTACGACCTCTCGAAGGGCGCGGGGGGGCAGGCGGGGCAACCTGTGAAGTCACGCGCTGTGTGGGCATGGGTGACAGGTAGGTACCCAAAATGGGTTGCCCTCGCAAATGGAAACTTCAACTACAACCTGCGGTCCATGTCCTGGTGGTATTTGATTTTGAACCACACCCATGTGGGAAGGTGTTTTTTGTTATTTGTGTGTTGCCCTTTTTGGGGTGGCTTCAAAGGGAAACGAAGAGGAAGACTAGCGGTTTTGGGGCGGGGTCCCCCAAAAAAAAACCCTTTCACGCCAGGCACACGGATACGTCGCTTTGGCGCTTTGTGCTAAGACACTTTACGGAACCGGGGTTGCCAGCGCGTTTCCACGTCTGGTGCCGCAAAGGAAACGCAGTTTCGAGTCGCAATGCCATTCGTTGCGAGTGCACTTTGGAATCTTTGTATGTGGGCCCGTTGTTTTGCGACCTTATCGAGACACTCTGCAACTTGGTTGTCTCAGAAAAGCCCATGTGACGCATGTTTGAGGGATTCAACAAACAGCAATCCGAGGCTCCGTTGACTTAGTGCCTGGAAGATGCTTTCAGCTTTTGTGTATCTAGCTCTCCCAGTAGTGCCCGTCGCCCGTTTACCTTTTTTTGGGGAGGGTTCCCCTACTAAAATAGAATTCAGAAAAAAAAAGGTACCCGGTACCCTTATTCTAACCTCTGTAGTGGGGGACCTAGGCATCCTTAAGAAGAACTCCCTCATTTGTCACCCATCAAGTCCGCTCATGACTAGATATGCACGCCTGGCTTGAGCAGCATGGTGGGTTTGCACAGCAATCGCCCAGACAGTAACAAGTAACAAATCATTCAGGTATTGTGTGCTCGGCAAACGCGGTACAGCATTGACTTGGCACTTTTCGATATACCTTTGCATGGTTCATACTATTATCCTGCGCTTTTGTCAGGAGTCAACAGCCATCTCCTAGATTAGAGCCTCTGGTGTTTTTGTGGAACATATCTATTTGTTGCCTTGAAGCATGCTCATGCTTTCATACGTTGTTGTCGACACTAGACATCCTAAATCCTAATGCAAGCATGTGTATGGCAGACATGCTGGGTCCAAGATTCGCCACGAAGTGGCATCATGCTTGCCCAAACTGCGGCATGCTTGGTGGTTGCATTCCTTGCAGAACCTCACATGAACTTGGGACGGGTGGCAGCATTTCACCCCAGAAGCATATTATCCTCCCCCCCCCCCCAACCCCCCACCCACCCCCCCCCCCCACCCCCCCCCACCCCGCCCAACCCCCCCAACCCCCCCAACTCCCCCAACCCCGCCAGCCCCCCAGCCCCAGCCCCAGCCCCCCAGCTGGCAGTGGGCTTGCCCGTCCCATGTCCCAGCTTGGATTGTCAGGGCCTCGGGGGGTGGATGCTTCGCAGCAAGCCCCGCTTGCCACTGAGATTGGAAGCTCACATGCTTGCGGGGAACCTTGCTTCAATTCAGGGGTACAACACAAGCAGGATATTTTTCTTGCGCCAATCGTTCGAAGCCTTGAAGCCTTTAGCTTGGATATCGACCTGCACGTGCACGTGAGTTTGCATTCAATCACTTGTCCATAGCGAACCTCTTGACCTTTCGGTTTCCCTTTTCAAGTCTACCCCCCTAGGGTTCAACCCCCATTGAAAGAAAGGTTAACCCAAATTGGATGATGAAAACAGTGGTGGTGATATGAACCCAACCACTTTGTGACAGGTGGTAAGCTGCCAGGGTACTTTGATACAGGGCCCCCAGAAGTGCTGTCGCTTTATTTTTCAGTTCTTTGAGCGAGAGGATATGGCGAGTCTCGCTCGCCAGTTGGAGTGGCTGCTCGGCGAGGGCATGTCACAGATCTGGCATACAGGCCTTGGCTGGTTCGATGGGTAGGGAATGAAGCCGGGAATGACCCCGAAGACATGGGGACGGGGGAATTCTTCGAAGCTTTCCATTTGGCACGAGCTCCAAGAGCCGATTTGAGTCTCAGGGGCCTGCCAGCACTGGGTGGATCGTCTTTCTTGGGGAGCCCTCTTTTGGTTCAGTCTTTAAGGGGAAACCAAAGGGAAGCTCGCCATTTGTTGGGGGCCCCTGTTTTAAGACAAGACTTGTCACATCTTGCGGAATCATGATCACTCTGAGCGGATAAGGTGTCACTGCTTACGGAAATGAAAATGTCACTGCTTACGGAAATGAAAATGTGACTACTTACGGAAATGAAGCCACTACACGCGGAAAAGTATAGGGGTAGGAAGCTCCTTTCTAAGGCTCCTTTCCAAGGCTCCTTTCTAAGGCTCCTTTCCAAGGCTCCTTTCTAAGGCTCCTTTCTAAGGCTCCTTTCTAAGGCTCCTTTCGAAGGCTCCTTTCCAAGGCTCCTTTCTAAGGCTCCTTTCGAAGGCTCCTTTCGAAGGCTCCTTTCTCAGGCTCCTTTCTAAGGCTCCTGTCTAAGGCTCATTTCTAAGGCTCCTTTCGAAGGCTCCTTTCCAAGGCTCCTTTCTAAGGCTCCTTTCTAAGGCTCCTTTCTAAGGCTCCTTTCTAAGGCCTTTTTCTAAGGCTCCTTTTTAAGGCTCCTTTCTAAGGCTCCTTTCCAAGGCTCCTTTCGAAGCTCCAAGGCTCTTTTCTTTCTCCTTTCTAAGGCTCCTTTCTGAGGCTCCTTTCTAAGGCTCCTTTCGAAGGCTCCTTTCGAAGGCTCCTTTCTCAGGCTCCTTTCTAAGGCTCCTTTCTAAGGCTCCTTTCTAAGGCTCCTTTCGAAGGCTCCTTTCTAAGGCTCCTTTCTAAGGCTCCTTTCGAAGGCTTCTTTCGAAGGCTCCTTTCTAAGGCTCCTTTCTAAGGCTCCTTTCTAAGGCTCCTTTCTAAGGCTCCTTTCTAAGGCTCCTTTCTAAGGCTCCTTTCTAAGGCTCCTTTCTAAGGCTCCTTTCTAAGGCTCCTTTCTAAGGCTCCTTTC